AGTGACATACTGAATCCCATACAGCGAGTGCAATAAACATTACATTGGACAAGCGGGGAGGAAACTGATGACCAGGAGACACAAACACCCAGCTGGCAGTAAAAAGACATGACCAATATTCACTTGTCTCAAAACACACAGACAATGAGGACCATCAGTTTGACTGGGACAAAGTGGCTGCCCTGGGACAAGCAAACAACTGACATGTAAGAATTTCTGGAGGCCTGATTCTCAACATAGGAATCCCTTAACAAACACATAGAAATAGACCCTATACACAGGCCGCTACTGAAAAGCCAAACGGGAAGTGACAAGACCCACCACACCAGAGGATCATATAAATTCAGAACAGAGCAGAACAGCAATGCTTTGATTAGAGGTCACACTGATGATGTTGCCCAGAATGGTAACAAAACATCTGCAGACCACGGAACAACTGGCTCGGCAATCAAACGAACAACCACATCCACAACCCAAACTACAAATTTTTGCTATGACCTTCACCACCACTTTCATGTGGACCAGCACTAACAGCCCTGTCATGCACTATTATTTTACCGATTTCGTCCCCCCATTCATATCATTAAAGGAGAAGACAGCCCATAATTGGGCAGACAGAGGCCACATATATGTGGAAGGTTCTGATATTTGGATCCTTGCCAACTATGAGGAAAGAATCTTGGTTGTCACAAAGACTAGGACCACTCCTATGGGGAAGTCAAGACATTTATATCCTGCCAACCAAGTAAGTAGCATTCTTCCTTCCACTACAACTCTCACAGTCACCCCCCTGTCAGTCTTATTCATCGCACAATACTTCTAATGCTATCTCTCTTGTACCTTGCAGGTACAGCCAGCCTCCCTGCAAACTCAGGAGAAAAACATCCAGCTCCCCAGAAGCACTTTTCTGGACTTCTGATAATGAGAATACAGTGGTCTCAAGGGATGCATTAGCTTAGATACTGACGCCTTGTTAGGAACATTAGCGTAAGAAATTGTTGAAGCAGAATCTGTTGAGCACCTCACTGTGACAGCACCGCTGGTGGCTGAGGAAGAAACAGCCCAGACCGTTCACTCTCAGGGACTGCTGGAGACCAGGCTCCTGCTCAGGCCCAGGCAGGAGAGGAGTCTGTGGTGTTGACAATCAGGGACTTCATCCACATGCACAGAGAGGGGCAAGAGCAGAGAGCAAAGTGGGAGGCAATGGCCCTCATTGCAGCAGAGCAGCAAGTCATGTGACCTTCTGTTTGCATCCATGGACAGGTTGGTATTCGTCATGGAGAGCCAGGCCCAGCATCCTCAGGGTCTGCTGGAGAGGCAAACACATACACACACACACATACACACACACACACTCAATCACCCCATCCACTGGTCATTAGGGCCGAAGCCACAGCGACATTGGGTGAGGGATGGTGACCCCAGTCCAGTTGCCCCTTCCGCTCACAAGGAGACACAGTGGTGCTGGAAGGCACTCAGCCAGAGGTGGAACTCCACATAGAGATCCCTAAAAAATCTCTTCTTAGGGCACTCCAGAGGTTGTTCGGCCCACCTTGCCTGTCCTCCTCCTGTCTTTGGTGGTTCAAGCCAAGGAGGATCAACTTGATTCTGGCAAGAAAACCATTGGTATGTCTGGCCTGTTCAGACACGGGGTTCGCCCTACCAAACCTCCTGCACTAACAGTCTCCACCACAGAGCAGGCTTCCTCTTTCCAGGCATGGTGGGAGGCAGAGAAGAAGAAAACTTATTGACAATGCTTTGGTGTGGCTTGTATGTGACTCTCAGATTATGTATAAATGTTTGTTCTTTAACCATACATGAGGTTGTTAGTCTCACTGCATAGGCCCAAATGCATTTTACACCATCCAGCTTCACTTCATGGTCACAGATGTGGATCAATCAATGGAGGTCTACATTGAAAGCTGACTGCACCATCTGGAAACAGGAGATCAATGAGTACACATTGAGCCATTCTGCCACTTCTCATCCACCATCCCTAATGTTCATCTCTCTCTCTGCGCAGAAATGTGTTAATGAGTTGTCCAGCAGTGGCTGTGCCAGGGAGTGAAACACACAGACAGGATCAATGATGACCAGGGAATAGGCAGCCTGTGTGTCTGTGTCCTATAAAAAGTATGCCTCTGTGACCAATTTATTTCCCTTTAAAAGGTCTATCATTGGTGGGTTCTGCAGCCCCCTCCCACACAGGTTGAGTTGCTTACTCCAGCCACTCCGAGTGTGGTCACAATTTCTTCTCCATTGCTCATTTTCAATTTCCAACACAATGGAAAGCAACAGTGAGCATTTCTTTTCCAGAGGCTTCTATCCTCAGCTTGAAAATGCTGGTGAGCCCCCAAATATCCACACCCCTTCCTAGTAGCTCATCCAAAAAAATGCATAGGCTTTGCAGCTCCCCACGTCCCTAGCTAACCTGTCTACATCTGCTCACCTTTTCTACCCAGCCCCTGGCATACGAGATGACCAGACCAGGTGTGTCATTCACTGTCCCCAACACTCCTTGAAGTCAGGGTGCTGCTGAACATGGCCTATTACCCCTCCTGCATTACCCACTTTCTGACTGTGCTTTACTGTATCCTACCTTTGCAACTCATGCTGCCCCATTTCCCCACTCAAAATCATCCTTCCCTAGAACCTGAAGGCTTCAGCGCCAAAGAATTACCTACTGAGGTTCAGTCTTGTGGCAACGGCCACATTTACTTCCCTACCCCTTCTGCTTTATTATCAGACCTGGCAGACTGATTGTAGCCCATTCCCTCAACTAATCTGAACTGACAGCCTCGGACAAGTTAAAGTCAGACCCTGACTTTAAATATCACCAAATATGTCAGTTATAACCCCCAGGCTGGCCACTATGGAGCCAACAGACCAGCCATGACCCAATCCCTGATCGGCAGAGGGACGGATTCCCTGACCAATATGACTTGAATATTGCCAAGCCCCTTGGCCGGTATCAGAGGCTGCCCTTGACTTTCTATGCCAGGATGCCCTGACTGATAGGTGCCTCCATGGACTTCAGTGGGGACTGTTCCCTAAGACATTGAGACATGCAGTGTGTTTGCCACATAAGCTGCTCGCACATAGTACTGGTGTGAGACCGTGCCGTACAGCAAGGCTCACACTGCCATGACTGAGGACTGCCAAGCAGCAAGTCAAGCTGCCCAGCTGTGTGACTGCTGTAAATGGCACAGCAATGTAAGGTAAGGCATGAATATTGTGAGCAAGCAGGTAGGTGCTAAGTGAGGGAGCACTAACAGTGCAAGTGAGCAGCTCTGAAATACAACCTGGTCCAATCCATAAGCTGGATTTCTGACTCTGCACACAATGTTTGGTCAGATAGGAGGCTGAATATTACTGTGGTGAGTTGGTCAATCAACAAGGCATTCAACAAACAATAATCCCTCTTAATTGGCAATTCACCACTACCTAATGAGAAATTTGTCTCGCCACTTGTAAAAAGCATAAAAGATGAAATAAGATGCTCCCAACATCAAGATGGGCCTCACCAACTTTTCATCATTATTTTTTCTTTAATTTAGGCATGGGATGTGGTAGCTGCTTGCTGGGTCAGCACATATTGCCCGTCGCTAGTTGCCATTGAGAAGGTGATGGTCAACTGCCTTCTTGAACGGCTGCAGTCCATGTGTATCACCCACAACGCCATTACAGCCAGAATTCAGAATTTTTACCCAGCAATAGGGAAAGAATGATGATATGTTACCAAGTAAAGATGGTTAGTGGCCTGGAGGGGAATTTGTGGCGGTGTTCCTGTGTATCTACGGTCCTTGATCTTTGAAATGGAAGTGGTTGTGGGCTTCAAAGGTGCTGCCCAATGAGTCTTGGTGAATTTCTGCAGTGCATCTTGTAGATGGTGTGCACTGCTGCTACTGAGCATTGGAGGTGGAGGGAGTGGATGTGGTGCCAATAAAACAGACTGCTTTGTCCTGGGTGGCGCCAAGCTTCTTGAGTGTTTTTGGAGCTGCACTCATCCAGGCAAGTGGGGAGTATTTCATCATACCCCTCACTTGTGCCTTTTAGTTAGTAGATAGGTTTTGAGGAGTCAGGAAATGAGTTATTCACTGCAAGATTCCTAGCCCAGACCTTCTCTTGTAGCCACTATGTTTGTGTAGCAAGTCCAGTTGAGTTTCTGGTCAATGGTAACCCCAAAATGTTGATATTGGAGGATTGTGAATGCCATTGAATATCAAGGGAATATGATTAGATTCTCTTGTGTTGAAGATGGTCATTGCCTGGCACTTGTGTGGTGTGATTGTTATTTGCTACTTGTTAGCCCAAGCCCGATATTGACCAGGTCTTGGACTGCTCCAGTATCTGAGAAGTCACATATGACGCTGAAAACGGTGCAAGTTGCCACACATCTTGCCATAATCTACATCACACAGGCCTCTACAGGATTTCACCCATTGACACTGTCATTCAGATTATCAGATAATGATTAATTACACTGGTCCTTCTTTTAATTGAAACATGATATCTGGCTGATTGCTAATTAGTCAAAGTAATACTCTTATCTATCTCACTAGAATGTGGTAACACTTAAATCAAACCATTTGGTCTTTACAGCCTGAGCTGGATACTTCTCTCCATCAGTCCACTCGCATTCTTCAACTTCGTCATCATTCTTCACAAATGCTTTAATTTTCTTCTCGTTTTAAGTCAATTCTACAAGTTAATTATAAAATAATTCATGCATCTAATTCAGCAATTTTGTGACAAAGAATTTCATGCTCAGTCAGGTCTCTGTGTCAATTCGTTTCTCTAAACTCTCTTAATTATTTTAACAATGATTTTAATTTGATTCCTATTATGTGGTAGTGCCAGCCAATGGAAGTACTGTAATTTCATCCTTGCAAACTCATCATTTTTATTGGTTTTAGGACACTTTTTGACAAGATTACTTATACTAACATCTTCAAATCAATATACAAACATATTCATTTCTTTGTATTTTTTTCATATAGAATGCAATAAAGATGATCTTATTGAAATTTTGACCCAGTGCTGTAATGCCCAACGGCTCATTATTGCTCAGATCTACAGTGGTTCATATGGACAGGTATGTATTTTGACATTTCGCCAACATTTATTGTGAGCTAAAATAATCAGCAAGTTGAAGATCTCAGATTCTATTACAAACAGACAACAGCCTGTTAGATATCCTGCAGCCCTTTGAGTCACATCATCAAGTTACCAGGTAAGGAGTTCTTGACAGTCATTGAACTTATTTTCCTAATTTTACATTTGTAGATGGAGAGTGTTATCACTCCCACTTACCATTTAGACTGAAAGACACTATCATTAGGAAACTGGAAGCTGGTGATCCTATAAAAGTGCCATCTGATGGACTACAAAGCTTCTTTTTCTTCATCAGACCCAGATTCCCTCAGCACCCCTCCCCTGGTAGTGGGCCGGTATTTGGGTGCGATGCCATCAAATACCACCTCCACTGATATTTTACCAGGGGATGTTTTGGCTGTCTTACCCACCCTTGGCCTTAAGTGGCCAATTGAGAGGGGTACAGAGGCTACAGATCCCAGCTGGTAAAAAAATGTTACCCCTCTACGCCCTCCTGACTCATTCATCCACCCATTTCTCCAGCGTCACCCACACTGGCCCTGGCAAAACTCCCAACTCGCCTAATTTGGTTCCAAAGCTCCTCATTACCTGCAATTCCAGCAGTGGTCATCACTCCTAGTGGTGCTGCCGGAACTTGAGAGCCACATGATTACCCAGCAGCTCTCAGAGAAAGAGCTTTCTCCCATGTGGGAACTATAGTACCACACTCAATGAATTGACGACTCAACCACCGTAAAATCAGATCAGAGCAGCCCAGCAAAACAAAGGTACGCCCATCATAGATTTTCAAAAATGCAATCAGAGTCAACCCTTTCTTGTCCAGTTTTTGAATGCTGGTGTCAATATAGCAAGTGTTTTCTAACTATTCAGGGGAGGTGATCTTCACTAGCTCGGCCAGAATTTATTGCCCATCTCTAATTGCACTGGAAAAGTTGGTCATGAGCTTCCTTCTTGAACTACTGCAAGCCAATTGGTCTAGGGCCACCAAAAGTGATGTTAGAAACTGTGGTCCAGAATCTTGACACACAAACAGTGAAGCAAGTATGATTTATTTGCAAGACAGGATAGTAAGTGGCTTTGAGGGGATTTGTACGGGGTGATATATCTGCTGCATTTTTCTTTCTAGATGATAGTGGTTGTGTTTTTGGAAGGTGCTGTGCAAGGAGTTTTGATAGATTTCTGTGGTGTGTCCTGTGGGTGGTACACACTACTGAGCATCAGTATTGAAGGGAGTGAATGATTGTGGGTGCCGAGTTCAGTCAAGCGGGCTGCTTTGTCCTGGATGGTGTCAAGCTTCTTGAGTGTTGTTGCACCTGCACTTATCCAGGCAAGTGGAGGGTATTCCATTACATTCCTGACTTGTGCCTTGTAGATAGTGGACAGGCTTTGGGGTGAATAAGTACAATTTATACAAGATGGCCTTAAATTTAACAAGGCTTGAAAATGAGTGCAAGGACTGTGATTAACCTAGAACCTATACTGCCTGTCAATTTAAATGATTACAGCTTGCAGACAGCCCTATAAACACAGAGTGGCTGTTTGCCTCCGCATGGAGTCATAAAATCATTTGAGGCTGGTTCCAGCAATCCTGAACTTATTTTTTTCAGTTCATCTTTCATTCACTATTTCATGTGGCTGTGTAAACATGATAATTTAAAGAGGCTGACTTGTGGGCAAACGTTAGAGGCACTTTCAGGTTGCTGCATGGCCATGTTGCTAAGAGGGATGGTTAGCTAACAACACATGAAGCCAATCTGTCCAACTCTGCCTGACCTTCTCAAAGGAGCGGTATATTCTGGCTGGAACTGGTTCTGTTTTCAGAAGGAAGTGAGCAAGAAGAATGATGCAATAATATGGCAGGAGGCTAGCTCCAAGATTTTCTAATTTTATGCATTCAGCCAAAGTAAATACTTACAATTGCATTCATGAAGCTTAATCACATCCTCAAAGCAATTTGCAACCATCAGGGATTGACTTTCAAGTTCAGTCATTTTTAATATGTAGGCAAACACAGCAACCAATTTACACATGGCAAGATTCCATAAATACCAAATGGATAAACGACCAGGTAACCTGATTTACGCAGTTGAGGTTAAAGGCTGGGTGTTGATTATGACATCTTTTTTTCCCTAATACTCCCGTGGGAATTTTGACATTCAGCTGAGCAGGTGGACTGACTTTGGTTTAAAATCTCACCTAAAAGGTAGTAATTAGGATTCTACCACAGGCTTCAAGACCCTGAGATCAGGATGAAATGGGGATTCCCCAAAGCCAGAACTTGCCCGATGCTGGACCAGTTCAACAATTTTTCTTGAGGCAGCCTCCTATTGCCTGTTTCTGGACTCACTAGCCAACTGAGTACAGTGTGCGGAACATAGATCCTGCCAATCCAATCACCATGCTGAGAGCTCAAGAACTTTAGCAGGACAAGCTTCGCTGGGAAATGTAGGTGCTGCAGCTCAAAGACCAAGAGATTTCCATGGGGGAGGTGGCATGAAATTCAAAATGACAAAAGCTCTGTAACTAGGCCCTTCCAGGTGGCCGATTGGACAGGGGGTTGTGGGGGTGGTGGGGGGAGCGGGGTGGGGGCAGCCATTTCTACCACAAATCAGACACTCTCCCCCCTCCTCCCCACCATGCTAACCTTGAATCCCTACAGGATGCCCCCATAAAGTTAGCAGTCAGCCAATGTGGCACAGGCCTCTCCTCTGCTAGCAAAATTGATGTAATATTTTTGTGATAACAAGGTGTAGAGCTGGATGAACACAGCAGGCCAAGCAGCATCAGAGGAGCAGGAAAGCTGATGTTTCGGGTTGAGACCCTTCTTCAGAAAATTCTGAAAACCCTTCTGAAGAAGGGTCTAGACCAGAAACGTCAGCTTTTCTGCTCTTCTGATGCTGCTTGGCCTGCTGTGGTCATCCAGGTATACACCTTGTTATCTCAGATCCTCCAGCATCGGCAGTTCCTACTATCTCTGTAGCAATATTTTTGTATTCATTTTTGGGATGCAGACATCGCTGGTTAGGCCATCATTTTTTGCCCATCCCACATGGCAGAACTGAGTACTGAGGAAGGGTCACCGCACCTGAAACATTAACTCTGTTTTTTCCTTCACAGATGCTGCCAGACCTGCTGAGCTTTTCCAGCAACTTTGCTTTTGTCCCCACAACATTAGCTGGTTTTCTGGATTAACAGTCAAACGATAATCCCACTCAGATGTCACCTCCCCTGGGAGAGACATAGGTAATGCAGACGTAAAAGTAAAATAATGTTGGGCCAGGAAAGTCACCCTAATGAAGGCCTTTCATTATTTGAATATGCAGCCAATGTCTATTTGCCATGAAGTCAATCCGCATACAGGGAAATGTAGGTTTGTGCCAGGGCCCCAACCTTGTTTCCTATTTTCTTGCTATTTTCTTGCCCATCTCCCAAATCTACATCCCTGGGCTAGAAAAATCTGCTTGGTGTGTCCCTCAATGTAGCACTCCTTCCGTACATCATTAAGAGAAAAGCCTGGAGTCAAAATGTACAAAGCTGTGGTACATCTCAAATTGATGGGCTTCTGGCTCAAAATTGATGCTAATACCAACAGGGCCAATCTGACACTTTTAACTGTGATTACTGGAAATCTGACAAAAAATGCACTGTAGTAAATAGGTCTGTTTTCAGTGGGGTGCCTTTCGTCAGAATTCTAGCAATTTTTTCGTGACTTGTCGGCTCAAGATGTGAAACAGCTAGCTGTACTTTATACACTAAAGTACAAACAGCACACAGATTGAGAAGTGAGTCAGCTGCTAACTGTCAACAATGCAAATCAGCACAGCAGCAATGAAGTTTGAGTCATCAGGTACACAGTGCTGCTCATTTTATTCTGCGTTGAATAATCAGCAATTTGTGATAGCCCAGCTTCATAATTTAAACATGGTTTAAAGGTACAGATCAAAGCCGTCCTATTTCACCTTGATTTTCATTTGGCAAGATCAACAGACCACACTGCTTTCTGAAAACAGTGAATTGAAGAGTGTAGGTACAATGAAGCAAAAGCAGTGAATCTTTGTTGGTGTATCTTATTCAGAGATACGCACAACTCTCAGAATGGAAGAGAGATGGAGAGAGAGAAAAAAACGCCACATGAGAAATCGGAAGGAAATATTCTATGTCAAAATGCAAAATGAGGAAATTTTAACTTCTAGGCATTCGCAGGGTAATCCAATGTTGACTCCCACGCAGAGACAGTAAGAATATCATGTGGGAGTGGGTATTTCTGGGGAGAGGTCCAGGCTCCTGCTCCAGCCTGGAGATGAATTTTACTCCTTATGTCTGTAGAGGATTTTTTTTAGAGAGATGCTTCCAACCGTCAGCTATAAATTTGGAAGCAAAGCTACAGAACTCCATCACCTCACTCCCAAAAATGCCATTTTCTTACACTTTTTATGTGTCATCAACTGCAATTATTTTCATGGAAATTCACATACTTTTATTTCACTGATGTGAACAGACAGTAAGGACGACTGACAGGTTTGATGTGATTATGTCTGGCGATTTTCCTATACATTATTGTTCCCTCCTTAGCCTGTCCTTTCTTACACTTTTTTCTCATTCTATCTCCTGCAACTTTTCTCCTCTCGCATTTATCCCCTCTCCTCCTCACTCTTACTGCCTTTTACGTTCCCTCTTTCCCATTACTCTCTTCCTCGCCCTCAACCTAATTTTCCCTTCAGTGTCTAAGGCTGCTTGACTTGAAGAGAGAACTTGATCTTTGCAACACATTTGCAGACCACATGACATTGACCAGAGAGTACTAAGTTCAAATTCTTGTCAATCCCCATACACTGCTTTGGATGTTTCAGAGCTATGGGGGCGTGGGGATGGTCCTCTCCTGGGTGTGATGTGAGTAATAGTGAAAAATCTGGGAATTTATGGTTAGAATTGAAAAGAAAATCAGTTCTGCAATTCTGAAACAAATTTGCCCAATCTTCC